CTCTCTCTCTCTCTCTCTCTCTCTCTCTCTCTTCGGGAGTACAATTGAGAAGGCATTTCATTCATGAATAGTATAATAGATAAGTAAAGAAAACGATTGATTTGAATAGATTGCTAATTACGATTAAATAAATCGGTTGCAAACGATTGTATCTGTGATTAACGAGCGTTTGAATAGAGAGGGATCGGTGTTATTGAAGTCAATCACATCTAAATGGTATTAAATTTTGTGTTCTTGTAATTGATTTCTAATTAATTGCTGACTTTCATCGATAAGTAATAATAAGTACATTTCAAAATGATTTTGATTGCATTACAAATTCTGTTCCCACAAAAACGTGATATTTTTGGTTGAGTTAAGCAATCATTTAAAATGCATTGAATTTCATACCTGTATTAGAAATTAAGAATGAGTTGAATAAACTAAAAGTTTGTATTTTTTTGATGGTTTTATTAACTCTAATAAAACGTTATCTGTTTTAAGAGTTATATTAACTACAATTTGTAGTCATTTGGCAAACGTTTTTATTCATGATATCGTATATAAGTTTGAAAACTTAAATTATAAAAAACAGGTATACATTCTTGCAGTTCATTAGATCACGAATTGGTATAAATTTATTATAACAAAGTGTTTTCACTGTTTACTACTAACCGATATTTACGATTATATTAATATTAAACGATTTGATACTATCTTTAACTAGTAGTTTGAAAAACAAATATTTTTATAAATTCTATAAGTTGTAAAGAAATTATATTAACATTTGTTTTCAATTTATTCATTGTATAGTTAGTTAGACACGAATTAAAGGATACTTTTTTTTTGTATTCCCAATTGTTTCTATGGGATAGTGTTTGTCATAATTATACATATATTACAATTTAGTTGACCAAGATACTGTATTAGATTATGTTGATGAGGATATTATCATAATCATTAATAATCGGAACTTTTTTACAATTGACACCGTATTTTACATAAATATAATGGTATAATATTATACAGTAAAAGATTAAATTAAATCATATTTAGAGTTCAATGCATTTGGTTTATAATGAAATAATGAAAATACTTTTAACAATCTTCTAAGACATTGTATAAGACATTTGTTTTTATTCTAGCGATTTGTTAATATTTATTACACAAAATTCTCTATTGTCTAATTATTTGGAATAAAATCATTGACATAAATAACTTATTTCTAACAATATAAAATAAATAACATTTAAATAATATTTAAAAAATTAATTAAAATTATAAATAAAATTAAAAGTTAGTTTAATAACTGATTGATATTAAATATTAATAATTTATTATTATAAAACAATAATAAAATTGTGTTTATTTTTTATAGTGTTTATTTAGTTATAAGTGATTATTTTTATGTTATAACTTTTATAATGATTATTCAATTAGTTATTTCAATAAATAATATAATAATAATATTTTGTAATGTATAATAATATCTCAATTAAAACTTTTGATTTTTTGATCAAGTCTTTTGATTTTTAAAAATTTTTAAGTCTAGACATCTTTATATTTTTAATAAAGTGCATATTTGTAAAAATTTAATAATAATAACATACACGTCAATAAAGTAATTATTCTATAGTTGTAACAAAATTTAATATATCATAATAAAGTATAATATATTAAAGTATGATATATTAAGGTATGATATATTATACCTAATATATATTTATTAGGTTCTAAAGAATGTTTAAAACAAACGATTGTTTTTATAATAAAATCTCCGCAAAAGTAAATTAACGGATAATACAAATGAATATAATATTACAGAATTGAAAAGACGTTAAAACAATAACTGTCTGTCTTTTCACTCCTAACACTGATTAATGAGAAAACAACTAATTTTTCATAACATATAACAAATATAAGCAATGGATTGAAAGTTGCAATAAAACTATTTGAGTGTATAATCCGTTGATGACATAATTGTGATGTCAGTTATTGACTATAAGAATAGGTCATTGGGTTATAAAGGGTTAGACATCCAACTAATCAAACCATTTAATTACCAGATATTTTCACTATAACTAACTTTTCATAAACAACTCACCCATAGTTTCAAACACTATATTCAATAAATATTTTTAAAATATAAAAACAAATTAAATTCAATGTTAGAAAACATAAATCCATTTCAAAGTCGGAAGAAATCAGAAGAAAAATATTGAAAAACAAAAAATATTTTAAACAAAATTTCTAAAACCCAAAGTTAACACTCATTTCGTCAAACTTTTTTAGACGACTAATAAAATTAGTCTTAAAATTTAAATAAAACAGACAGAGATGTAGTGTAAAAGTAAAATTTATTACATTTATATATACAATGAAAATGCATGAAAATTAAGTCCACAATTATTTATTCATTTTATAAACAAGTTTTGAAAATATTTTTAAATACATTAATCGAAAAGAAGGAGAAAAAGAAAAGTTTGAAAGAAAAAAGTTTTGGAAATGAATTGAATGGCAATTGAATGCAATCTAAACAGTCGTCTCCTATTAGTGAACGTAAACATTAAAACATCAAAACACGTGACTCTTGTGTTGACACCAAAAACATTGCATTTTTTCATTACATTTGCATTGAATTGTGTTTTGAATTGCATTTAAATCGTTATTGAAATCAGTTTTAAAGCCATTTGAATGAAATGACAACAAATTCAGACAATTATCTCGAAGTCACCGAAAGTCCAAATGACAGACAATTTGAGTCTTTGTTTAAACAGGTATTCATTTTTGCGGTTTAAACACTGTTAAAAATAAAGGTGGCCAGATTCACAGGTGGTACTGTGAATATGGTTCATATTCACCAAAAATGAATTTACCGTGGGCTATCGCACCAAAAAGTTACATTCATTTTTAATAGCTAACGTGATTTATGTCAAAAAGTAAATAGTGAGAACATATTCTCGGTTATTGGTTTAAGTTCATGAACACCAATAATATATTGATGCCATTCACGTGTCATTCTGTGCGCATATGAGTGAACTGCAAACGTTTTAAAAGTCATTTCTATAACACATCAATATCTGTGAACATGATTCAATTTGGTGAATATTTGGTGATCATATTCAATGACTTTGCATAGTATGATAACACAACTAAACAGTGACAGACAACTAAAAAAATATTTAGTTTGCAGTAATGATTAAATTGATTGAATACCAATCGGCTATAAATTAATTTAAAGCCGGTTGGTATTCACATTACCGTTAATTGTATTCAATTACATGTATATATAATCCAAGTGAGTATGAAAATGACCAAAAAAATGATTGAAATGTAATTGCATTTGAGATATAAATGATATGTTCAGTTATACGCTGTATACACCATATGATGTGATAACATAAGGCTGGCCATTAATACAATACATAGTATTTATTTTAGATAAACAAACAAAATGCACAAAACATAATGCACACAATAACAACATATTGCAACATTAATGCACACAACATATTGCAACATTATTGCATAATTAATTTAAGAACAGAAAGCACAATTAAATTTGAATTAATTTAAATTAAAAAGTGTGAATCCACACAAATATACGTGAATCCGAAATTACTATGATTTTTTTGAGTATACTTTCAATAATGAATATGCGTTGCTAAACTCCAATATACTGTGACTACATATAGTGAACTATAACTAATATACAAAACGGTTAGTGTACTCCATATATGGCACAGTATCCAATCATTCAGTACATTGCCCAGGTTCACACTAATTATATTGAATTATCCCACATCCGTGATAATCCAGATATTGTCTTTCACTGCCACCAAAATTTCTTTCAGTGAAAATGTGATCATTTTGTGGATTTAATTGAGTGTTAATTTTGCAGATAATATCACCGGACAAGTGGTCCACACCTGACATACATGAAGACATCGAGGAATCAAAGTCTGTGGGCTTTTGCCTGAAGACGAAGGACTTGAACACCAATGAGAAGATATTCATTAATTTCTGTCACTCATCGATGGTATCAAATGATCCATTAATTTAGTTATTTATTTATCTTAAGACTCAATGATATATATCTTATAAACAAATAGACATTCTTTGAATTATTACTAAAAATATATACTTTTTATTCAATTTATTTTTAAAACTTAATTTACAGACAAAAAGTTATGATTAAAATTTAAAAATAATTTTGTAAATAATATAAATATAAACTATTTATAAAACTAATGCATTGAATGTATTGTATTTCTATGTGGACTGAATGGTCAGATGAAAGCCCCGACTCTGGACTTGAATGAAGAGGAATTGCGAGAACTGTTGGCCTCTGAAGACTCGACTAGTTTTACAATACCTCTGATATTAACGCAATTTAAGCCGACATCCGATAAGAGCGGTTCAAATGCTCGCGTTTTAGACGTTATAATAAATACAGGGCTTTATATAAATAAAATAAGTTTCAGTCAATTATACAAAACATTCTTAATTACAGTGTCTTTAGAGACAATTGAAAGCAAATACAATATTTTGTTGGAGAAAAACAATTGGGTTTTGCTTAAGAATAAAAAATATCAGGAAATGAGTGATAATAACAGCTATAATAATAAAATCGATATTAATAGTGATAAAAGTGATGATAAACTTATTGTTAATGATTTGAATGCTTTCTTAAATATCAATGATAGCAATGAAGGCGACAATGGCTTAGATTATGAATACGTAAAAAGTAATAGTAATAATAAATTGATTCAATATATTAATCATAATGACGGCAATGATTGGCCCAAAACCGAAACCAACTTCAATCCAGTCCGCAAACGATCTCAAACTGAAGCCATTCTCGACGATAAGTATGAGATTTGATTAAAACATTTCATAATTTAGTTTTCATTTTAAGGCATTAAAAATAAGTTAATTGTGTCGTTGTTTTGTTAAGTTTATGTCATTTTTGTATAAATTAAATCTACGGTTAAAAACTATTTGTTGGATAAAAACTAGAGCTTATTATTAAATAATGTTGACTTTTGACCGTATATTGTGTTGAGACTTATGTTGTAGACTCTCTTCTCAAGCAATTCTATGGACAGGCCTTTGTATTGAAGTAATTCTCGTGGAACTGAAGGGTAGAGTTTAGTATTTCCATCCAAAGTATATTCACATCATTAAAGAGACTGCAATACAAACAAAACAAAACGAAAAAACATGAAAATACAATTACATTTGGAGAGAAATCCCTTTTTTCTATTCAAACAGTATATTCCATGGGTTTAAAAGCATTTGAGAATTGCATTTAAATTACACATAATTTCTCACTCTTCCTATCATTTGGACTCTGTTTTGATAATAAATTGTTTGTGAACTTAATATTACAATACCTGTTGGGGAAAGGCGGCAGTTTGCAACCATCCAGAACAAAGTAATTGATTCTATGTCCTTGAATTGGATGGAAAATTTTTTATTTAGTTTTTTTGTTGAAAAATTAGTAAATTTTATATTTCAATGACTTTTGGAATGCAATTTTGCAAACCATATAAAATTTGATAACTTTCTATGTATTGATATGAAGAGCACAAATACCTTGAAATCCTTTGATGGCATCCGTCAATACCTGAACGTTGCGAATATTCTTACAGAAAGCGACCGTTTCTATTAAGTCCGGATGAATCGCCTCTTCGATAGTGAACCCGACATTTGGCGGACCCGTTGTCCCGCTCTCTACATCCCCTCCGCCACTGCCTTCAAACTCTGTCTCCCTTTTGTCTAATTCTGCAATCATTTCATTAATTGAAATATTAATATTTAGTTGATAATAGATTGAATGCTAACCCAAACAATCGCACGGATGTATGTATTCCTGTTTAGGACATCTCAGGTCATAAACAATTGCAGATCTCTTCTCGTGTAACGATAGCTGTCCGCCAGAGTCGGGCTGACTCCTGACCTGTCGGGCGTCATATTTGAAGTATTCGACAGCCAATGAGTGGTTGAGATTCAGACATAAGATGACAACAATATTCGACAAAATTCTTATGTAAGACATTATCGTTTAGGATATAAGGTCTTGAAAAAGTGCTTCAAATCGTTAATCGATTAAACAGTAGTGAAGTCGAGGAAACACTTTTGCCAAATGTTTGTACTTTCAGTTCAGTGTTAACTGACTATCAGTTTTCTGTTTTTTGATCTTAACTTTAGTTATATATTTTCTTCTCGAAAGACGTGAACTAAACGCTCGTTATGTTTAAAATAATGATATCTCGGTTTTGTTGTGTTCACGATATCTAATAATAGTGTTGTCCCGTTCGTCGGCGCGCATCCAATTCAATGCTAATTCACTCCAATGCCATACAAGCCATACATTACTGTCTTATTTTTTTCAAATATTAATATATATTTTAACTGTTGTCTCGTTTTATGTCTTACTTTAATATAACATAAATATTACGAAGAGATGTGTTATCGATGTATACATTAGTTATTTTGTTATTTAAAAAATTCCTCTTCCTTTAAATTTCTTTAAAAAATAGATTTTAATGTTTCTTAAAGCGATTTTGAGGTATTGAGTGCCTCTTCGAGACAAAAGTAGAACAATTAAAGCAAATAACAAAATATTAGTGTAGTTTTGAGATCCGTTTTGTGTGAACTTCTTATTAATCGATTAAACGATCTGTTTATATGACGTTAAGAGAGAGACCAACAAAACACCAGTCAATACTCTGTCCGCACTTTTATATATCCCTATAATATTAATACATTGCAAACGTATCGTTAGTTTTACATTCAATGAAACACAAAACAATCATTTGAAATATTAATAATAAAATGTCAAAACAAATACATTTCCCAAAAAACTAATGGGAAATATAAGGCAAAAAACTCATATTTAAATACCTGTTATCGTTGTTTATATTGTTATGTTTGATAACTAGACTCGCGTTGAAACACACCATTCACTTGGATTTCACATCACATTTTCATATAAATGTTTGATGAATTGTAATGTCATTAAAAGTGGACAACTCTGACAATTTGTGGCCACTTTTGCCCAGTTTGTTGTGAAGCCCACTATTTGAAGCGAGAATATTGAAAATAAAGCACACCTTAGATAATGTTTGAATGAATGAATGCATACAAACTTTGAACAGTAGGTGTAGTGATGTTAGAAAAGTTGAAGTCCTCTCTCCTATCGCTCTCTTCGCCTGTTTCTGCGATACTCTTCACTTGTCTATAGTATTGAGCACTTGAGGTGCAGGTATTGAAAACCAGGTGCACTCCACTCACTAGTCATTCAAATTGCCGTCTAATAGTTAGCGTCACTCGTATGCCGTTCCCCGTCAATACAAATACACGCAATCATACGCTAATCGTATAACTTATTTCATTACTTTTTATATAATTTTCATGAATACAACATTAGATTCACGTTTTTGTAAACACCTATCAGTCCTCAGTTATTGTCAAGTCCTCACTCTCTCCCTTCCTCTCTCTCTCTCTCTCTCTCTCTCTCTCTC